GGGGGGGGGGCTCAGGTCCAGCTCACCTGGGGGGCAACCATAGTGCAGAGTTTAGCAAACAGCACGTGTCCGGAGAGAGCAAAGAAGATGGCGTTGCGGAAGGAGGTGAACCACATCACCCACTCGAAGTCAGCCACGTCCTGGGGCAGGCCCAGGCAGGTTAAGGTGGGGCGGGGGCAGAGTGCGCTGGCACTTGGGCTGGTCAGCGTCTCAACCCCTTCCCTGCCCCCAGAATCTTCTTGTGCATTAGAGGAGAGCAACGGCTGAGGTCCCTGCCTTCCCCTCTGAGGGAAGTACCAGGAAGGTAGGTAGAGAGGAATGAGGGGCACCGTGTGGGCTGCCCTGCTGCTCCAAGCTCCCCCTCTGTCCAGCACATTGCCTGACATTCCACCATTACTGCGTTGTTCCTGGGGAGGATGGTGCTGGAGGCCCTGCGGAAGCCCGTCTCGGTTTGTTTCCTAAATGAGCAGGGTCTGAGGCAGGCTTGATTTGGCCCCAGGAGGACAGAGGAGGGGCCAGTGGAGAAACTGGAGATGCTGAAAATTCAAGCCAGAGACCTTCCCCATTGCGAGCCCTCTGTTATGTGGGACCATTGGGAACGGGGGAGAGCGGGGAAGGGTTTGGGACAGGAGAGATGGGCCAGGGATCAGAGACCCCGGTCAGGGACCCTGCGCTGCGGGGGACCTACCATCTTCCGGCCAATGTACTCCCAGCCAGGTCGCACAGACTCCCGGAAGGCTTTCCTGTGGGCCCCACCTGAGAACAGAGTCTGGTCTCAGGGTGCTTCACGCCCACAGCTGCCTCTACAGCAAGGCTGATGCCACCCTGGGGGGGAGGGGAGAGGGTCTGGATCTCTCTCTGCCTCCGCTTCTCTCTGGGTCTCACTGTGTGTCTGGGGCCAGGTCTCTGTATCCCTGAGTGTCTGAGACACACTCTCTCTCTCTCTTTCTCTGGCTCTGCCCGGGTCTCTGTCAGCGCTTCTGCACAGGAGTCTCCCTGTGGCTGCATCTGACTCAACCCCCTAGCCCCAAGGCCTAGCGACTGCCCTTGAGTCTGGAGCCTCTAGGTTTCTGGCCTTGCTGGGTGGAGCCCTGAGACCCCCAGCGGAAGAACGGTCCCACCCCTCTGTCCCGGGGCCCAGCTGTTACCTTGTGAAGCCTCAAAGAGGCCCCGGCCAGCATAGGCTAGGGCCCCGCTCAGCACCAGGGAGTACAGGCCCAGCTCTGCTGCGGGCAAGGCTGTCTTGATGCCCATAGCCTGGATGGGGCTGAGGGAGACAGATTGGGTGAGGGCACTGCTGCCCCCCGGCCCCACCTAGCCCAGTTCATGGTCCCCACTGAGGTGATGGGGTCCCCATTCTGAAGACAGACAGCCCCTTGGGCATCTCATGCCATCATTCTCCCCGCCCATCTCCCCCTCCTCCCAGGCCCCCTGCCATTTGGGGCCCCATCCTAGCCGCTACTCTCGGCCCCCTCCCCCTTCCCACTGAAGGCTCTTGAAAGCATTGTCTTCGCTCTCAGCCTGCCTTCTACACCTTCATTCACTCCTCCATACCTTTCAGGTGGACGGGTCCCCACCCTCTGCTCAAACTGCTCCTCCAAGGTGTCAGATGACTTTCTTGTGGAGAAACTCCCTCCGCATCACCTCAATCATATTTCTGGCCCCCAGGGTTCCCACTCCCCTCAGTAAGTCTCTCTCAACTCCTGACAAATCCACCCCTCCTCCGGGCCGCTTTCTCTGATTCCATACCCTCCTGAGCTGCCTTTACTTCCCGTGACCTCCCCAGGCCCCACCCCAGCACCAAACCTCCATCCCTCTCATTCAGCCTATAGCTCCTCATTGACCCCCATTACACCAACCAGCCCCTGAGCCCCAGCCTGCCACGTCCCTTGTTCCTGCCTGTGTCCGTGGCCACACCTGCCCGCTCTCTCAGTGCTCTGTGTATCCAGGCCCTGGGTGCCGGCTGGAGGCTGTGCTATTTGACGAAGTGCCCTGGGGTAGTGGGTGTGGGGCTAGGCTGGGCCAGGCAGACACCGGGGAGTGTGCTGGCCGCTGCCCAAGGTGCTGGCCAGCATTGGGCTCAGGGTGAGCCTGGCCACTCCCTCCTGCCAGGGCCTAGCTCATCCCCAGGAGTCCTCCTGGGTCATCCCTGGGACCTAAGCTAGCACCTGTGCCCTCTCTATCCTGCTCCGGCCTGACCCGTGGCCATCCTTTCAGGCTGGGCTGAGCGAGGTGGCTGGCATGGCCCTCTCTCCCGCCCCAGATCCTCTAAATCTCCCTCACCAGTTCCGAAACCAGCACTCCTGGGCCGCCACAGTCGGCGTTCTCCCCATTACACAGACGGAGGGCTCATGGACCAGAGAGGGGCAGGGACCTGTCAAGGTCACACAGCGGACCAGGGACAGGATTGAGTGTTCTCAGTGAGCCCCCCGCAGTCTCTGACCGGAGAAGACCGTCCGCTGCCGCTGCCCCTGCCCCTGCCAGCGGCCTGCCGTGGCCTGACTTCTGCACCGCTGGCCTGAGGGCTGACGCACCTACCCACGGGCCAGGTGGGGGTAGGGAGGCCCTGAGGATCGGGTTAAGGGAGCAGAAGCTTGAAACCGGAGCACTGCGAAGAGCCTGCGAAATAGCTTTGTCAGCTGCCTCCCACTCGCCACTTTCCAATTTTAGCTCCCCGTGGCCGGTGCCGGGTGTCCCCTGTGAGGCCTCTGTGAGCAAGGCCAGGGCTGGCCCCCAGCCTGGGACCTCTCCTGAGAGACCCCAGACCTGGGCCAGCCTGTGGACAGAGGAGTGCCCCCTGCCCGCTGACCTGCCCGCCTGAGGTATACCTGGCGTAAAGCCCACTTTGGGGCCTGAGGTTTGCGATGAGGGGCCTGGGGTGGGCTCTACAGGTCTCAAGGACCCCGTAGTGGCTACATCCCTGGCTGGCACTGACCTTGAGGAAGCTGTGAGGGACCCTGGCACACTGCCCACCTCGGGGCTCTGGGGTCCTGCGTCCGACCGTGCGACCGTCCGACCAGCTGGGCTCTGGGGCCCCGGTGCGGTGTGTCCAGCTCTGGGGTCCCCACGCCCTCGAGGCTGTGAACGGTGAGTGGTGACAGCAGGAGGGGTGGGGGAGGAGGAGGGCAGGGAGGAGGTGGCCTTTCTGGAGCGGAGCTGCGCGAAGTGGAGCAGAGCTGAGTGCTGCAGAGCTGCTGGCCACAGGGAGCTGCAGGGAGGATTGGGGAGGGGCAGAAGGGGTGGCCATTGGCATAGGCTCAGACAGGGACACCTGGACCTCACTTCGACCTGCCTCCCCTGGTCCGTAGAGCCTGTGCCTCCTTCTCACTGCTGGCCAGGACTCTCCTCTTCCAGGAAGCCTTCCAGGGGGCCCCCACTGGCCTCTCTAGGCTTGTGAGCTCCGCCCCCGCCATGCAGACACACACTCATACCGTGCACACACTTTCACGTGCAGCTCCGTGAATTCCAGCGCACACCTTTACATGTGAATTCCCAACGGCTGTCCCATGGCACACCCACCTAGCCCCCTGCCCTGCTCCATTTCATCATGCAGAGAATCCTGGTTGGTCAGGCATCAGTGCCTGGGGGTGGACTGACTTGCCTAGTGGACTTGTAACTGGCAAGAGACGTGTGGGCCCTATACCCCAGCCCTGTCCCATAGGGAGCTGATCAGGTGGAGGGGAGCTAGCAGGGTCACTTGAGTGGGTCCTTGGAGCGGCTGACCTCCTTTCCACGGCAGGGTGGAGGCAGACAGCAGTGTTCCTAAGCAGCCAGGACTCCCCTGGTGGAGGGGAGTGGGGGGACAGGGCCCTCACTCTGGGAAGGGGCAGCTGAGGCCTCAGCCCAGCCTACCTGATGTAGAGGGGTATCCTGAAGGCCACCCCACCGTGGCCTCAGAGCCCAGCTGGTTGGACGGACGCATGGTTGGATGCAGGACCTCGGAGCTCCATGGTGGGCAGTGTGCCAGGGCCCCTCACAACCTCCCCAAGGCCAGTGCCACCCAGGGATCCAGCCACTCTGGGGTCCCCTGGGACGAGGATCTCAGAGTCTGTCTGGGAGGGCCCGTTTATGCCTGTGCATGGGGGACAGGGTCTGGAGGGCAGAAGGAGCTGTGTGACTGTAATGAGTCACAGGACAGGTCCTGGAGCCTGTGCTGACCCTCTGAGCCCAGTCATAGGCTCAGCAGAGACTAGAGGAGGAAGTGTTGTCCTACCCCGACCCTCAGCAGGGGCACTTCCAGGGCCTGAGCAAGGCCTGGGAGGGAGAGTGCCCTCCCTTCCCACAATACCCGGAGGCGCTGAGCTTCCTTTCAGCACACACTCCCCACAGAGTGGCACGGAGGCCTGCACGGCGGGTCCCTGACTCTGTGAAGCATGAACGGTGATTACTGCACTGGAGGGGCTGCGTGCGGGCTGCGGTCATGGATCACGGGTGCTAGAGGAGGCCGGCGTCGGGGAGGGGGTGTGCCTGAGCCAGGCTGTGGGCGTTAGGGAGGGTTTCCTGGAGGAGGTGGGGCACCCGAGTAGAGTCCTGAGGTGGAGTCAATGGTTGTTAGAGGAGAAATAAGTTAATCACAGTTCTGAGGCTGTACCTGGATTAACTCTTTAATGTCACCACAACCTCTAGGGAAGTGGTTGTTACCACTTTCCCCAGTTGATAGAAGGGGAAATTGACGAACAGGAGGTTAGATTACAGTCACTGGGTCAGCCGCATGAGCTTCTGGAGTTGATTGCCCTGCAGGGGCAAGAACCCAGCTCACCCACACCTGGTGCTGGCCGAGACCAGCCTGAGCCGGCCATGCAGCTGGTGCCCTCGTGAGGCTCCAAGAGAATGGCTCTGGGAGGCAGACGGGGTGGTCTGGCTTCACCATTAAGAGCACCGGTACAGCCAGCTGACTTGAGCCTGAGCTCCGCCTTGCTGGCAACCCACTTCTCTGAGCCTCAGCTACTCATCTGTAAATGGGCACACTGCCGGCCCTGACCTCACTGGGCTCTTGGGGGGATTCGACGGCTCACTCCGTGGCCAGGGCCTGGCTCACTGAACTGCTCATAGAGAGAGGCTGTTAGAGAGGCTGAGACCCCTCGCTCCAGAGGCCAAGACAGGCAGCGCTCACACACAGCAGGAGGAGGGGTCCACCAGGCCACCGCGTGCGGTGGGGTCTGTAGGGAGCTTGGCTTGTGGGGATGGCAGGCGGGTAGAAGGCTAGGGAGGCCCCTTGGACCTGGGGCTGGACAGCCTGAGGCCAGCTTCCCCCGAGTGAGGGGTGGTGAGGGGAGGGCACCTGGTGCCCACAAAACGAGGGGCAGGAAGTGACTGGGCTAAGACCAGCAAGGGCTACTGGGAAAGATGGGCAGGGGGCCAGTTCTCTCAAGTCCCAAAGTCCTTTTCATTTGTTTCTTGTTGTCGCTCAAAGTAAAAAGTCGGGGAAAGTGTGTGTGTGTGGTATGTTGTTTATGGCGTGTGTGTGTGTGTGTGTGTGTGTGTGTGTGTGTGTGTGTGTGTGTAAGGCCCAGGGACTATAGGAGATACGGTGTGTGTGCAGGAGAGGGGGTGCGTGGACAGAGACTTTTCCTTGTGGGGTGGCCGTGAGCTCGCTGGAGGAGGGGATGGGGAGGCTAGTTCTGGCCACCAGATGCGAGGGCCCAGAGGAGTCCTCTTGCTGCAGGCCCCCCTGACCTGGGCTCCTGAGAGCAGGGGAGGGCCCAGGGACCTGGGGACGTGTTTGGGGCTTGAATCAGCCTGAGCCAGACTGCAGCCTTGTCCAAGTCGGCTGTGGTGCCCCAAAGGCCCCCAAGGGGACAGTGGCCAAGCCACACCCCTGGCTCAGCCGGGTCTCACCTGTCAGTGTTGGAACCTGAGCGCCCAGGCCCACAGCCTGGCGTGAGGCCAGGGAGAGTCCTCACGTGAGGCGTCTCCACCCGCGGCCTCACTGCTTGACTTGCTGTTCCTCCACTCTCCAGGCACCTGTCTCCCGTTCCCGCCACCTTGTGGCTCCGGGTAGGGGCCTCAGCGTTCCCATCTGTGAAAGGCAGGTCCAGCCCACCTGCTGCCCACCTGCCTGAGGGCTGGGAGGTCCTCCTCAGGGCCTCAGGGACAGGCGGTGCTGCTCAGGAGGGGCCACAGGCACTAACCTGGACAGACCAGGTTGCCACGCTCCGTACCTGGCCCGCCTGAGTTAGATCCTTCAGGGCCCCAGCCCTTGGTCCTTCTGACAACCCTTTCTTCTCCTGGGCCTTCCCCTCCCCACCCCCCTTGCCCACCCACACCCCAGGGAGATTGGAAGGACAGCCCTCACCCCACCCAGACCTGGGCATTGAGCCCGGAAGCCAGCAGGAAAGGCGGGAGGCTCTGAGATGCGGCTTTCTGTCTCTGCATACCCACAACCCATCCCGCCCCGTCGCGGCCCTCTATTTCCCACGCCTCTCTGACCGGACGAGCAGCTGCCTGAAGGCTGCAGCAGCAAGTCAGATTCGCCTCCGGGCCCCTCCCAGGCCTGGAGAGGCTGGTATGCAGTTGGCACTCGATGACTGCTTGATGGTCAGCTGGCTCGGTAGATGGTGGCCTGGGAATCTGTCTCCCCAGCTGATCTGGGGCTTCCAGGAGCTCGGGGGCTGAGTCTGCCTCACCTGGCACCCCCTTGCCTAGGGCAGAGTAATTGCTCAACAAGTATTTGTGGAACTGATAGAGGTAATACTGTGGGCTGACGTTTATTGAGCGCCTACTGTGTGCCAGCCGCTGCACTAGCACTTGGCACCTTTTAACTCAGTGAGTCCTGAAGAGGCATTCTGCTGGGGGAATGGAGCAGACCTGCTCTAAGCACACACGTGTGTGTGTGTGTGTGTGGTGTGTGTGTAGACGCACATTCCCTTTCGTGAAGACCGGTCACTTGTGTCACTTGTGCAGTGACTCACATATGCGGCATACATACCGTGAACCCCGTCCATGGGGGAAGCTACCTGGGGCTTCTGGGACCCTGTCTGCTCAAGCCCTTCCTCGGGGCTGGGGCTGAGGAGTGAGTCCATGCTGGCCCCCCTACTCGGAGCCCCAGCCCTGCATGGGGTGACAGGTCTTGAGACCCCCAGCAAGTGTAGTGAAGGCCATGAGGATGAAAGGGTGCTCAGTTTTCCTGTGAAGGAAGTTTCCCTCTGATCCCATGTGAAGGGAAATGGCCAGGCAGGGCCTGTGAGTGTGGAGTCAGCACTGTCTGCTGGCACAGGTGTGTCTACATATGATTCATGCTCCTGAGTCTAGGTATTTCTGTGCATCTGTGTCTTTGTGTGGGCCCCTGTGTGCACAGGTGTGGCCAGGGCGTCTGGGGTCGGGGTGTGTGGCTACCCTCCATGGAGCCACCCCTCCCCATGGCAGTAGCTGCAGTTGAGAGGGGTGACACTGCGGCAGTCACAGAGGGGCCTGGGGGCTCTCCTGCAGCAGCCCTCCCAGTTCACCCCTGTGCTGTGGTGAGGCAGGTACACTATGCCTTCGCCTGGACCCACTGCCTCAAAATCCCCCTGCCCAGAGCTCCAAGCCGGCCCCACCTCTGCCCTCTGCCACCAGCTGCAGCCTTTTGGGAGCAAAAAGAGGTGCCTCTTGGAGCGGCTGGCAGAGCTGCCTAGCAGTGGGTAGGCACGCCCACCCTGGGTATTCAGATCCGCTGGATGACCCTGGCTTTTGCAGGCAGGCAGGCCAGGGTTAAATATTAGCTCCGTGTCTTTCTGTGAGCCTCAGTCTCTCCATCTGTAAGACAGGGTGACAACCCCCTGGGTTACTAGAGGTCTAGATGGGATCGGGTTTCCACAGCAGGTGCCCACTCACTGGGAGCTGTGGTGATCTTGAAAATCATCATCATTATTACAAGCCTGAGGGTCTGCACCTAAGGAAGAACCCTAAGGGGTGGGCCGACAAGGTGGCTAGGAGCATGGTGCCCCCAAGTCTGTAGAGGGTGGGGATGCCCACAGATAGAGCAATGGAGGTAGGAGTGGGGTGTGAGGATGCTCTGGTGAGGGAGGTGGGGCGGGGCTGGGCTGCCTGGGGGATGCTCCCAGCCTGGAGCCCTCTGGGCTCTCCTGCACATGTGGAGCCCTGTGGGCATGCAGGGTCCCCCGCTAGGCTCTAGGACAAGGGCAGTGAGCACCTGCCCAAGGGACTGCATCTGTCCGTTCACAGCCGGCTTCTCATCCCAGAGCTCTTGCTGATGCCGACAGGCTGCTGGCCTCCTCCCTTGCCATCGCTAAGCGTGCCCAGGGCTTCTCCTTTGCCCTCCTGCCATGGGATGTTGGCTCTTGTTGCCCTTGGAGAGCCTCTTCTAGGAGAAGGGGCCCAGGTTGGCTTCCAGGAGCAGATGGAGTCCTCAGATAGAGCCTCGTCCTCTCAAGGCCTAAGGCTGACACTGGGCCGCCATCCTAGTGCTTGTCTGTCTTCTGCCGCCGCAGGGCCTGCAGGAAGACCCCTTTCACCTGGCCCAGGGTCTCATGGTACATTCGGAAGTCCTCCTCCTTTCCCCGGAGGGCCCTGCTTAGGGCGGCCTTCAGCATTTCGCTCTCCTCTGCCTGCATGGCCAGCCTAGACCACACAGAGAGGGGGGCTCAGCGCGGCTGCGCTGGCGCACGTGAGTGTGTGTGCATGCGTGTAGAGGGCCCTGGGGATGGCTGCCAGCTCGGCTGCTCTTCAGACTCAGGGTACTCTCTGAACTCCCCTCAGGGACCCTTGGGGGACTACCATGTGGGATTCCTGCCTGGGCCCAGCCACAGCTACCGGGCCTGGTACCCAGTCGTTCCCCCAAATGTTGGCTGCCTCAGGCATGAGTTCTCATTTATAGAGGTTCCCCCTTTCTCACCACTGCATTTGACCTTGAAAGGTTTAATTGAATGATAAAGCTTCTCTTGGGACCATGGGCTCTTTAGGGTCATGGCTGGGTTTCTCTGCCCTCTGATGGCCAGTTACTGAATTGCAGGCCTAGAACCCAGGACCCAGCAGGACCAGCCTTCTGGGCAAAATAGAAGTCAAAGGGGGAGGGACGTGAGCCCTCTGCCTATCAAAACACCTCCACCCAGACAACACCACCCTTTCAGGAAGACGGGGGGCAGGGAGCACCTGGTGGTCAGCTCCTCCATCTGGGATTCCACGGGCACATTGGAGATCTGGGCAGAAGATGGGCCCTTCCTCTCGCTCTCCTTTGGGTTGTGCCTGGTGTTAGAGGTGGGCACACCTGTGGGGCAGCAGCAGCCACTTTCTGTGGTGAGGCCATGGCCCTGTGTTAACACTTCCTTCTCCCACCCCCAACTGTCCACTTCCTGCTTCTCCACTTGTTGAAACATTACACCTCCTTCAAGGTGCAGGACAAGGGCTGCCTTCCTCCAGGCCCTGACTGCCCGCTTTGCACTGAGGTGGTTCCTCTCACTACTCTCTCCATATTTGCACTCTATAAGTTTCTGGAAGGCAGCTGGGCCTGAGGCCTGGCCTGCAGGTTGAGTCTGAGTCTAGGCTGTCACCGCATCTGATGCCCTCTTACCACTGGGTCCCCCACCTCCAGTCTCCATCCATACGCACAGGGGATCCACAGTGGCTGGGGCCAGGGGACAAAGAGTGCTCAGAAAAAGAAATCAAAGCCCACCTGGTGGGGAACTCGAGCACTGTCACAGCATCAGAAAACGTCTGTGCTGAACAGGCCCTCAGTGGTGGCCTGGCACAGGGGAAATCACTTGGCACCAGCAGACCTGGCTTTTACTTCCTGCTGTGTGGCCCCAGGTAAATCATCAACCTCTCTGAGCTGGTCTCCTCACCTGTAACGTGAGGATAATAGTTCTTGCTTCTAGAGCTCTGTGAGGCCACAGTGAATACACATTTGGCCCTCAAGGCCTGTGTGATGGGACCACCTCCTCGGCACCTCGTGACTTCCCTACCTCACCACATATTCCCCTCCCCATGATCCAGTCTCACTACCTCCAAGCCTCCAGCCGTGCGCCCACCTCAGGGCCCTTGCACTTCTGCCCTCTGTTATCTATGCCACATCCTCACCCCCTTCCACCGTCTCTGCTCAGGCATCAGCTCATCCGTTAGGGTGGCCGCCCCTTAGAAGACAGCTGCTCTCTGTACCTCCTGTCCCCTTATACTCAGCTGTAAGCCACAGCACTCGCCTACCATCTTTTACTGGTTTATTGTTCTCTTCCCCACTGGCATGGAACTGCCACGGGGGACCACATTGCACAATCAGGCTCCCTATTGTACAGGCGGAGGGGTGTGCTATGCCCCCAAGAGGGGCGGTGCTCTTCCCATGTCACAGGCCAGCATGGACAGAAGCCACATGGCCACTTTCTCCCCAGGCAGTTGCCCTTCCCTGTCCAGGCAGGACCAAAGTGGTTTTCCCTGCTGTGGCTTAGCCGTCCCTAGTTGGGAGCCCGGCCACTTGGCAGGAGGTGAGCCCATGGCCTGGAGACACTACATTCCTAAGGGACCTGTTTCTGCAAGCCCAGCGGGGCTAAGCCCCCAGGACCTTCCCCAGCCTGGACTCTCAGCAGCTCCTGGAAGGCCCCTGGAGCCCTGGCCCTGCTGGTGGGAGAATGGCACCACTCCCCCTCTGTGTCCTACTTCTGGAATGCCCTCCTGAGACGTTCTGATCTCTGCGCTGGGAAAAAAACCTGAGTGTCCTTGGCTGGGGGCGGGGGAGTACTGGGGTGTTGAGAGGCAGGGAAGATGGGGATGTTGGAGAGAGGCAGGCTCAACCTCTTCACACTGAAGGTTCTTCCTCCCCGGAAATGGCTTCTGGTTCTGGCATCCCACACCCTCACTTCCCAGCCCCACAAGATGCTGCCACTTCTGGTCTGGAGACTGTACCTTAAGAACCACTGTGTTAGAGCAGTAGAACTAACCTTTTTTTTTTTTTTTTTTTTTTTGAGGTACGCGGGCCTCTCACTGTTGTGGCCTCTCCCGTCGCGGAGCACAGGCTCCGGACGCGCACGCTCAGCGGCCATGGCTCACGGGCCCAGCCGCTCCGCGGCACGTGGGATCTTCCCGGACCGGGGCACGAACCCGCGTCCCCTGCATCGGCAGGCGGACTCTCAACCACCGCGCCACCAGGGAGGCCCCAGAACTAACCTTTTGATTTAGGACAACTGAACAGTCCTCTGGAGCTGGCGTGGTCATGTGATTAGGATCTGGCCAATGGGATGAAAGCATAAGTGACACAAGCGACCTTAGGGTCCTGCCCTTGAAAGGTAAGGAGCTCAGGAAAGAGGGAGGAGCCAGTCAGCAGCACCGGTCAGCCCCTCCGTCAGGGTGGAGCTTTGCCTGCCCCTGCTGCTGTGTGTCCTCTCCCCGCTGGCCCCTGAGTCAGAACCAGGAGCCCCAGAGCACCGTGGGCCCAGTGTGACCCGGGGCCGGCCCCACCTCAGCCCTACCTGTTTTGCTCCTGGGGGCTGCTCTCTGAGAAGCTGACGTCCTCCCAGGCTCCAGGCGCATCTTCTGCACGTGCTGCTCCAGCACCGCGCTGCGGTGCCGCTCCTCCTGCAGCTTCCTCTCTGACTCCAGAAGCTTGCTGTTGCTCTCCTTCACCCTGGTGATGAGAGAGCAGGGGCTGCCATAAGCCCTGGCACCCCACCTGCTCAGGCTCTCAGAGAGGTGGGCACGGGACTCGTTCTTCCTGATTTTTATTGCAGTAATATAGGAATATGCATTTAAAACCATATCGTTCTCTCCAAGGCTTAAAATGAAAAACAAAAACAAAAACAAAAAAACACACAGCCCCTCCCCACCCCTCCTCACTCCCAGTTTCTGCTCTCCAGAAGCAAGCACTTCTAACGCCTTCAGTTGTTTCTTCCACTACTGCCATATTTCTCCAGATGCTTATGCTGCTGTTTTTTAAGTCTTAAATATAATCTTTTGACTTCCTGTCAGGCAACATGAGAACTTAGTTTTATTTTAGTACCCTCTCCTTGCCAGACAGAATCGCCTCTCCACCTCCCGATGTGGTTATATTACCATTTTTTGGCTCAATTAGTGTTAGGTGGTGTATTAGTTTTCTATTGCTGCTGTAACAAGTTACCACAAACTTAGCTTAAAACAACACAGATTTATCGCTCCATGGTTCTGTTAAGTCAGAAGTTCAGCAGTTTCTGTTGGTTTCTCTGCTCCAGGTTTCACAAGCCAAAATCAAGGTGTTGGCTGACCTGGGCTCTTACCTGGAGTTTCTAGGGGAGAATCTGCTTCCAGCCTCGTCCAAGTTGTTGGAAGGATTCAGTTCCAACTGAAGGACTGAAATCCCTGTTTCCCGCTGGTTGTTAGCTGGGTGACTTTCATCTTTTAGAGGCTACTTGGCCCCCTCCATCTTCCAAGCCAGCCAGATACCCTTTTCATGCTTTGACTCTTACTTCTTCTGAAGCATCTCTCTGGCCCGGGCTGGAGAAATTTCTCTGCTTTTAAGGGCTCAAGTGATTAGATTGGGCCCACCTGGTAATCCAGGACAATCTTCCTATTTCAGGGTCCATAACGATCATCACATCTGCAGAGTCTCTTTTACCATATAACATATTCACAGGCACAAGAGTGGGGTGAAGGGCACTGAGGACAAAATCCTGTCTACCCCAAGGGGTTACATTAGGAAGATTATTCAGACAGGCAGTATACTCATGATTACATTTTCTTTCTTATTTGCTTGCTTTTCCTGGATTTAGTGATTGCTTTCTGTTTGTTATTATTATTCTCTATATGCCTGTCATGAATTCATGGGCCTTGAAGAACTTGTTATTTGGTTATTTCACTAAAGGATCTGATTACTTTCACTGAGGCTGGAGCTAAGGTCCTTCTTGTGGTTAGGTGTGGCATTTCAGACTGCTGTGATACTGAAGCCTCAGCTAGAAGGCCAGGACTGTCCCAAGAGATCTCACCCAAGCAAAGGATTACATACGTACATACACACATGCAAATCAGAGTGGAAGCCTGGATATGTACGTGCAGTGTTGGAGGAAGTGTTCTTCCCACCTTGGTGAAGAGTCAAGAAGGAACGGAATGGTAACAATTTTGAAAAGAATACAACTACCAACACAAAACTGTATGCCAGCATAGTATACAGCTACTAACACAACCTGTTCAAGCGTGTTCCCTGAAACTTATTTGCAAAAGCAAAAGACTAAAATAACCTAAAGGTCCATCAAAAACTAATGAAAAAAACTAAAAACTAAAAACTAATGAAAATTAAATAAAATTCAGTTCCCACAAAGCTCTAGGGTATCAGCTGAGAGAGAATCACACACGCATGACTCTGAGAGTGAGTGTCTCTTTAATTTTGTGCCCTAGGCACCTTGCTTGCCCCACCCTCATCCCACAGGCCCTGGAAGATGAGGCACCACACGGAGAGAGAGGCCGCATACAGGAGAATGGAAGTGCCCCTGCTGAGCTGGCTGAACGGGGCATGTGAGTGATCCAGGTGGCATGATGTGAAACAGAATTACCTAGGCCACCCACAGAATGGTAAGAAAGAATAAACCATCGTGTCTGAGGCCACTGGGTTTGGGATGGTGCAGCAGTAGATAACCAAGTCACCTTGATGCACAAATCCACCGCCCCAAAACTCAGGTGTAACTCAAAGGAGGGACTTCCCTGGTGATCCAGTGGTTAAGACTCTGCGCTCCCAATGCAGGGGGCCGGTGTTCGATACCTGGTCAGGGAACTAAGATCCTACATACGGCAAGTAAGCCTGCACCGCAACTGGAGAAGCCCCGCACTGCAACGAAGGCCCAGCGCAGCCAAAATAAATAAATAAATAAATAAATAAATAAATAAATAAATAAATAAATAAATAAATAAATTAATTAATTAAATAAATTAAAAAAAAAAGAAACTCAAAGGAATTGAGAGAGAAAGTCATAATTGGATATATTTCTTCCATTGGGTAGGTTAGAGGCTTGTATTATCCACTATATATATATTTTTAAATTTTATTTATTTTTTAAAAAAAATAAATTTATTTATTTATTTTTTATTTTTAGCTGCATTGGGTCTTCATTGCTGCGCACAGGCTTTCTCTAGCTGCGGCGAGCGGGGGCCACTCTTCGTTGCGGTGCACGGGCTTCTCATTGCGGTGGCTTCTCTTGTTGCGGAGCACGGGCTCTAGGCACACGGGGTTCAGTAGCTGTGGAGTGCGGGCTCAGTAGTTGTGCACAGGCTTAGTTGCTCTGCGGCATGTGGGATCTTCCCAGACCAGGGCTCGAACCCATGTCCCCTGCATTAGCAGGCAGATTCTTAACCACTGCACCATATAATATAATGGAGGGAAGCCCTCCATCATATTTCAATGACAGAAAAAGAATTAATGTTACTTTTTCTCATTTGCTTGAGCATGTCTGAAATTCACATCCTCTCTTTTCTACTGAAAAGAAAACAAAGCTGATCACTCCTCACTGCTTAGGGAGTGGCCATCCCAGCACCCCAGCTCCTTTGGTGCTGCCAAAGCTGCCCCTCCTCCATTTCATTTTTTTTTTTTTTTTTTTTTTTTTTTTTTCCCCTC